GTGAGGAAAACAAAGAAAGATATCATAAAGGAAAAATGCATCATTACACCACTTCTTTTGTGTTCTTCTTCAAATAATCGAACATCTTCATCGTCCCACTCTTCGGTGGACGGCGAAGACACCTCCTCCAATTTCTCATCCTCCTCGACCTTCTCATGTTCTTCCGATTTCTCATCGTCTTCCATCTTCTGATGTTCTTCCAATTTCTCATCCTCCTCCAGTTTCTGACGTTTCGAATCACGCTCGACGACCTTCGAATCCATAAGAAAGACCTTGAATGCGAAACCCTAATTCTTCTGTTTTCTATCCTTGAACAAGGGAAAGGTCGCTCTTTTATTTCCAAACGGGCTTTGCGATCTTTAGCTTGTAACACGTATACCAAACCGAAAAAATAATAATTCGGGTATGGTTAGGTCACATAAACCAATTTTGGTTAGTTATTGAGCAAATTAAGTTAACCCTTCCCATGGATCATTGAACACATAGCAAACGACGGTCTAAAAGGTCAATGTAAAAACAATAAAAGCCAAAACGAAAGTCTTTCCGAATTCGATAATTCAGCAAGAGTAATAGAAGTTAACCAGACATTTTCTCGGTTAAGTCAAGTGAGATGACCAGCAATGCCAAAATCTCAGATTTGACAGAAACCTCTTCAAACCTCTGGGTATCTTATCTTGACAAATAAAGACTTGTCACTCCCAGAGCTGCACTGCCTTATAATTTTCCCATAACCTCCATTGCCCCAAGTTGTCCCATACGAGTTCTTGACTAGCCAATAATGCACACCATTAATCGTTCCATAGCCGATCAGCAAAAGCGCATGAAGGGTCAGTTTTTCTTCATTGCTCTTTACCTTGTTCTTCCTAGCAAGGTCAACCCGGTTCCACTTCTCTTCCTCATTGCGAGTACCCCCTGGGTAAAAACCCTCCTATCAAAATCCGATACAAAAATATTTATTCATTTCCTAATGTTAACAGTTCAAAGAATTTTCAGAAACATTAGCTTAGCTTACCCCTTTGAAATCTAATAAGCTTTTGAAAGCTCTCATCTCAACGACAACAGGTCTTTGAGTTACTAGCTTGATGAGATCCTTCTCGTTGATGTCTTTTCTCTTGACACGTTTAAGATCTTTGATTTTCGTTGCCTAAGGAGAAAATTAAACAAACATCAATAAATCATGATGGAAACAGAGATGATTTAGTGTTGATATTGATCCATTCAATCAAGGGGAAACAAGGGAATATGCAGAGTGATTCGAATCAAGGTTAAAGACACAAAGATTTTTGGTTGAGGCCATAGAAACAGAGCATCAATTTGAAGGAATAACTAAGCAAAAAACAGAGAAACTTACTGCTTGTGTGTCTTCTGTTGCGTGATTACACCCATTTTTCAGAATGGTGCCTTCGTACTCACACTTGTCTTCGGTAACAAGACCTTGGTTGACAAGAAAATTTGTCACTCCTTCGTATCTTCTCATCGCGCCGGATTGAAGCTTGTTGACATTATTGATGAGATGTTGTGCCGAGAGTTTCGGATGCCTATTCTTCCTCTCCTTCTTAGCATTTATATTTAGAGCAGCCTCGATGCTCTCCCTTAAGGCCACTGCCCAACAAAGCTCTGGAAAAAATTGGCAATGTTATAAGACTAATTTAACTGCTTTAATCATGATAATAGGATCTCTCTATTTATATCATTACCGTATTCTCCTTGGTGAGTCACTTCTTCTCTGAGGACATCATTTGATTGACTCCAGTCTAACTCACATGTTTCATAAGTATCCGGAACATCCTATAAAATATAGTAAAACACTATTATTTTTATGACTTTAGCCTCAACATTACTAAATGTTTCTTTGTTTCTGTTAATCAATTTTCTTATACTATTAAACAGAATAGAACACAATTACCTTCGGCCAACCAGGATCTGTGGGAGTTAATCTCTGCATTAAAAACAAAGAATTAGTCAATTAGTGTCAAAATGTGTTACATATATATACATATACAAGGACAGTACGTACCACTTTGCCTATAGTCTTTTTGCTGGACCCTTTCTTTTTCTTTGAACCACTACTACTACCCCCAGCACCAACATCATCGTCGGACGAACTACTCATAATCGTATTACCACCAGCAAGAATCTCTTGAAATGTCTTCTTCCACCACTCGCAGAACACTGGACTAACACAAGGTACTTCATAACGAGAAGGAATGTGTAATCTCGAAGCATCAATAGGCTTGTTGTATTGATCCCAAGCTTCCTCCTTTGAGAGGTTATTCTTGTTAACAAGACAAGGAACATCCTGGAACATTCCCAACTGTAAAGCGACACGATCCGGACAGTAATGCTCCACATAGTCAATACCAACAAGCTGAGACACCTTGATGAACCGAGCAAAAGAGATCAATTCATCATCAAGATTAGGACCAACAGGAACCAACATCTCCTTCTCGGGGTAAAAGAGAGGAAACTCCCAATTTTTCACAGGTTTTGTGAAGGGACGCCACTCAAAACTGTCTACCTTAGAGTTGTCTAGAATCCGCCTCACCTCATCGATCTTTCTCTGTTTCTCATGCCAAAGAGCCAATCTTGGCTCATCTTTTACCAACTCATTAGGCTCTGGCTGTAGTTCCCTGAATCTCTCCCATGTCCAAACTTGAACGAGCTTAAACAAAGCAGTGAAATCAGTTTTGACAGTAACCGTTGATTCGTCGAAAGCTTGAATGTGGGTTTTCAAGAGACTTAGGTCTGCATACAAGTGAGCAAGAACAGATGGAGCCAGAGCAATCTTTGTACCACATGAAAGATGAACAGCAATCGGCAAAACAGCCTCATTGATATGGCCATAACCCAATGGAAACACGAAACAGCTAAGCCAATACGCAAGGAAAGCAACATGCTCAAGCTCATCTTTACTATCCATGAATCGGCTCATCCATGCTGATTGAGTAACGAAACTTTTCTCATCTTCCTTAATCTTAACCCATTCTTTAACCAGTTCCGACTTAATCTTTTCTCCTGAGCTATCTAAAGCAGTGAAAACAGGTAAACCCAAAACAGAGAAACCTAAAAGCACCATAACATCTTCAAGTGTTATGCTTGTTTCACCCCAAGGAAAAACGAAACTTTTTGTATCAGGAGACCATCTCTCGGCAACACCAAGCACAAGATCTTTGTTTGTTTCGATTTTGTATGTAGACGCCATAACAGCTTCAAAAACCCCAGCTTTTCTCCAAATGGGTTTGTGTAAAGCTTCCATTTTTTTTGTCCAAGACTGGAAATTTTTGTTCGACAATGTACAATCATGGAAGGAAACACTGAAAGATAGAGCCTTTAAGTCAGGACGACTCGGATGATGAAGGACAGCTTCAGATCCATCAATGGAGGTAGAAGAAAGATTGGATTTTTTGCTGTTTTCAGAAGGAAGCTCTTCACTCTCTTCAACAAGTTCTTTTGCTGTTGAATCTTCCATGGAGATTAGAGAAGAAGAGAAAAGTTTTGATCTTTTATCTCTTTCTTGTTTTTTTGGGTTTTAAAGATGCAAGTTTGAAAGTTGAAGGCAAAGCGCAGAAGCTATGTTTTCTTTTTGCAGGAGACGGAGCAGTGGCAAGAAATTCATTAATAAAAAGGTCTCATGAATAAACATTGCATTGCAGTTGACCC